TGTCCCCAGTTCTGGAGAAGTTCAGGCGACCTCGGTGTTCCTGGGAGCTCGGACTCAAACTTCGGGACGGAACGACAAGGAAACCAAAGCCAGATGCTCGGCTATGCGTATGGGGTGGAGGGGGATGGGCAAATTGTAGAAGGTCTGCTCATTCTTTGATCGGAAACGCCTCGTCTCCCAGAGCCGGGTGGTCGGCGCCGCGGTCTTGGGGCTAGAGGCGAGGGTGCTCACTTCAGACCAGACTAAGAAGCTAGACTCTGTCGACGTGCGCTACGCGAGTGCTCTGTGCCAGGGGATCGTGATCTGACGTCCGCATCACGAGGAAGGCGAGAAAGAGAGGTGGACGGTCACTACGATCTGTGCGGGAGCCGTATGGAGGAAGATCAAGGCCGTTCCCCCCAACTTCGAGATCGTGGTGCGGAGGCTCCGTCAGTATCAAGCTCTCGTCCGCCGATCCTAGCGTCATGTTCAGGAGCTAGCCGCTGTCTTTGGGAAAGTTGCCTTCGAGAATGTGGTGCCACAACAATTCTCTTGGGCCCCTACGTGTACTCCTGCGGTGACCCCTCAGGGCAAAACTAACCCCTGGGCCCTGCAGTTCAAGAATGACTTGTTTTATCTTGGGAGATTGGATGACGGGCCCGAGTTTCTGGACGAGGTAGGGTGCGACTTCTTGAGGGTCTTCCAGGTGTCCGAGCTGAGTGCCCAGTTCCTGAAGTTCAACATGAAACGTCTGAGGAAGCTCTGGCTTGAGGCCCCGACGGTGACGCCCATCAGGCAATATGAGGACCAGGAGTGCTTCGAGGGAGGGTACATGTGCTCGCTTCTCAACGGGGAGGGACTAGAGTGCGGTAAAAAGTTTCGGACTGTACATGCGCTACGGGCACATCAGACACACAGCGGAGGAGGTGAGCACGGGCAGCTTAAGATGTTCACTAAATACACGGCCACCAACCAATGCCCCTCCTGCGCCTCACCATTTGCATGCAGGGGAACAGCGATAAATCATATCACAGCAGCGTATCGACACGGACGGTGTATAGCTCATAGATCAACGCTACACTTTCCAGAGGTTGAACCGCAGCAGTTTGTTTGCCCAGACGCTGAGTGCGCGATCGAGTTTGCCTCCCTACCCGACCTACAGCTGCACCTGGCGGCAGTCCACTACCCCAGCCGACTCCTCATATCGTGGCTGCAGGCGCTTCCAGCGGCACTCGAGGGCGCCGAGCCCGTCCACAAGTCGGCGCGCACGGGGCGCGGTGGCAAGGGGGCGCGCGGGTCTGCGTCTTCGGCACAGGAGGCAAAATGAAACAGCAGAAGAAAATGCGAAGATCGTGGATCCCAGCGAGCCCGACGACGAGTTGATGGACGTGAAGCAAATGCAGAAGTTCTTCCCAGTCATGGTGCGGCTGATACTCAACCTTGCGCTACGTCAGCGACAGATAGAAGCCATCGAGCTGAAGACCTTCCTGATGTCGTCGGGGATGCAGGTGGCGGTGAAGGCCAGGGCCTGAGTCAAGGCCTGGGTCAAAGCAGCACAGGACGCCAGGTCGTCCCTGCCCAAAGCGGAGGCGGGGAGGAAGATCCAGGAGATGGGCACGATGTCGGTCGCCTGTTATGCAGGAGTGTTCGAGGGTCTGGTGGCAGAGGGCAACGCGGTGGGCCGCACCAACCAGCAGCAGCTCGAGGAGTTGGCCAGGCAGCAGAACGCCGCCAATGCTCAAGAGATGGGCGAGGCGGTGCCGCTCGCGAAGATCACGGACGCCCACGAGGAGGGCAAGGTCAAGCTAGTCCTGCGCTTCACGTCGCGCCTCAACTTCCAGCCCGTGCTCGCGTCGTCAGTGCAGGCAGGCGCGGGCTACAAACAAGGAGCCACCCATATGGGGGCACGTGGAGAGGCTGCTGCACACCGGCCTGCACGAGCTCGAGAACATGACACGGGAGTGAATGCCAATGTCTGTGACGATCCCCAGCAGAGGATTGAAACACCCGAGGAGAAGAAACGACGAGTTGAGCAGCTTGTGAGAAGCCTGAGCCTAGCCGCTAGTAAAACGATCCCTGAACCTCCGTCCTCTTTGTCGGTTCCCGCGTTGTCCGTTTCAGCCCCCCCTACTCCCTCCTCTCCTGAGCCTCCGTCCTCCGAGCCTCCCCCTCCCTCCACCTCTCTCCCCAGCAGCGCGAGCCAAACTGCCTGCGAACCTGTGCAGCGAAATACCCCGCCAGATTTCGCTACCCATGGGCCTGTGCAGCGAAATGCCCCACCAGATTTTGCTTCCCTGCAGGTGCTGTCTCCTGGCCCTCATCGGCTCCTCGTTGCAACCTCCTCCCCCCCGAACGCTCGAGAGCTGACGCTCCAGCCTGAACTCAGGGGCCGGGTGGAAGGAGGAGTGCCCCACGCCCGCCGCCCCTCGAGCGCAAGAGTGGAGAGCGGCAAGCGCGCGAAGATTTCAGCTGCTCCGAGGGGCTCTGCCCTGACCCATGGTCCCGCGGAGCCCACTCTTCCAGTAGTGATCAGGCGTGGCTCTAGAGCCACGCAGGGGTTTTCTGCACAGTGGAGCGGTGCTGACATGAGTGCTGCTCTGCGTCTTCTGGGGGCACCGCGACAGCAGCAGGGCTCTTCTCTGCTGCGAGTCGCGAGGGTGCGTGGCCACGCATCGCGAACTGACGCTCGGGTGTAGCCCGATCCTAGGGGCTCCTGCTGGAAAGGCTGTCTGCTCGCCCCCCATGGGTTCTGATATGATCTCATCATCATCAGCAGCATCAGCATCAGCATCAGCATCAGCATCAGCATCAGCATCATCATCATCATCATCATCATCATCATCATCATCATCATCATCATCATCATCATCATCATCATCATAATCATCATCATCATTATCATCATCATCATCATCATCATCATCATCATCATCATCATCATCATCATCAGCAGCAGCAGCAGCAGCAGCAGCAGCAGTATCAGCATCAGCATCAGCAGCATCAGCATCAGCATCAGCATCAACATCTTCATCATCATCATACTCATCCATCATTCACCATCACCATCATACTCACAGTATACTCTCACCATACCATGGTGAAGAGAGGGAGAAAGGAGGGGAGGGGTGAAGGGTCCGGCGCGGTCAGAGTAATAACAATAACCCCATCTTAGGATATGGGGAACTAAAAGAGCACACACGAGTCGTGCCTTCTCACCTTTTCGCTTTCGACTGCCCTCTGAAGCGTCAAGATGGCTCCAAGAAGGCCCAAGAGAGCACCACGTGGAACCCAGGAGGGTCCCAAGACGGCCCCAAGAGCGCCCCAAGAGGGGTCCAAGAGACGATTCGTTAGCGGCTCTAGAGGGGCGGCGGCGCCGGAGGCGCCGCCGGCGGGCCCGACGCGGAACCAAGAAATGCGCGCGGAACGCCAGAAGTTTATGTTTATGGCGTTTTATTCTCTTCCATTATTGTCCGAGGAGGAAATGTTCGCCCTACTGTTTCGCATCGCTTGGTGTGCATCTCCGACACAGAGGACAGCGGACCCGGGGTCAGGGCCATATCCTGGGCCCAGGATTGGTGCGTGTGCCCTCGTGGCTTGTTCGGGGAGGCATATGCACCGATCCTGGGCCCCAGATTGGCGTGGCCAGAATTGGTGCAAGGGCGTAGCTTAGAGGCCTCCTAGATGGGTGCAGCGTAGATGGGGTTGGGGGATCTCGCCACATCGCCGATACATCGGCGATGCATCGGCCATGCGCCGGCGACGTCGGCGATACATCCGCGACTACGGCGTGGAGAAAATTGGGCTCCACATCGAGCCGCATCGCTGATACATCGCCGATGCATCGGCAATGCGGCGCGATCCTCCGACCCCGTCTACTCCGACTCCATCTAGGAGGCCTAGATAGTTTTTGCCGCCCGATCCTGTACCTGCTTCGTGTACGGGGCGATGGTAGAGGGGCAAAACAACAGCATAGGCACAAGCTCATGAAGTTCCGCGCAGATCTTTCGGATCTGCGCTGGGCCCCCCCTCCCTGGAGCGCGGAGCGCGCCAGAGGCGACGCCCGAGGGGCCGCCAGAGGGGCCCCAGCTCCGATCCAAGGAATCCGCGCGGACATCCAAGGGTTTATATACCTTTACTGTTCTTGTTGCTCCTCAAGATGATGCCGATGTCGCTGCCCTTCAGGCCCAGGCTGGCGTCACTGAGCAGGTCCTTCAGGTAGGACTGCACCACGGCAATTTCCTCTCGGCTTGGAGGCCGCGGGGGGGTCTGAATTGTTCTGCAGGGCCTCAAAATATACACCACCACCAGGCGGCCATAGGAAAGGAACAAATCCTGCGCGCGACCGCCCCGACAGGAATGTCACTGTCTGCCCCCGCCAAGCGCAAGTACTTGCCACGTGGTCATGCGCGCACATGGCGGCCGCATTCGGTCGTGCATATTGCTCCCAAACGCCCTATGGCAACACGGTTGTGGTGTATAGAAGCGATGACCCCCACCCTGGGAATTTTATACACCACCCCGAAATATACACCCCAAGGAAGCGGAACTGTTCAACAGGCATGTTTGAAACCCGAAAAGATCAGCCAGGAGGAAGGGGCGAGGCCAAATCCGCTCGAACTCGGTCTCCGAACCCCTCCCGGGGGGTTCATTCGTCGCCCCAGATCAGTTCTTTGGTGCCGGGGCTCGCAGACGGCACATGGAGGCCGAACAAAGACAAAAACTATTCCAAGCCCAACGCCAGGAACCTGCCCGCCCTTCCTGCTCCCCGGGACCAGTGCTTGGAAAGCCCAGAATCGAATCGATAAGTCGGATCGGCGATCGAAATGAATCGGATCGGCGGAAATCGGCAGCCGAGTCGGAAAAAGTCGAATCGGCGGAAATCGGAACAGTAGCAAGTCACCATTGAGACATCGGAGCCCAAATCGGAATCCGAAGTCGAATCGAATCGAAATCGGAAGCCATCGAAGTCGAACCGAGGCGAATCGGAGGAATCGAAGCGAGCCCTGCGGTGCTGGGCCACCTCAGCCCTCCCAGCGGCTCCGAGTCTCCTCTGCGTTGTACACGGACGCCGACCCGGCGTCGCGCCTCTCCCGCCCGACCACGTTGTGCATGATCACGGGCGCCGCGCGGCCGCGCTCCTCGAAGAAGCGGAGCAGCGCGCCCTGCGACTCGCGCGCGCGGTGCTCCAGCTGGCCTGGAGGCAGAATCGACGGCACGAGCGCTGACCCTTCGGCGGCAACGCATGGGAGCCTCCAGGTACCATCTTGCTGGCCCCTGCGAATCGACGCTGGCCGACGCTAGTCGATGCCAAATCGACACTCATCGACGCCGACGCTACATCGGCGCTATCCCATCGACTGCCAGACGCTAATCGATTGATTCTAGGGCACTCTATAAAAAGAACCACGAAGGTATACAAGGCTCCCGTGATTTGCTACAGAAGACACCGACGCTCGACGTTGGAGGCTTGTACATGGGCACCAAAACCAAAACAGGGGGGTGCGTCAACCGGGGGAGGACGAGCCTGGATTTTGGCCCTGGTGGTAGTGCTTCGGCCACCGAGGAAGCCCGAATATTGCCACCATCACCGCGATCGGGATCACCTGCCCTCGGTGGAGGCGCACCGCCGATATTAGTGCTGGTGCCAACCTCTAGGCTTAGGTCGGGCGTGTCCTCCTACAGGCGGACTTTGGACGAGAAATGACAAATAGCCAAGCAACAACCAAACAAATACTCGAACATACTCAGAACATCGTGCCCAGACTATTTCTTGATTATGTTTTCAAAGATATTCCTACTGTCGAGGGACACGCCCGACCTAACTCTAGGCTTCAGACCACGGTCCGCGCGGATTTCTGGGGCTGCGCTGGCCGCCACCGCGGCCGTTGCCGCCTGAGTCGTCGCCTCGGCTTTTGGAGGCGGCGGGGCTGTCTGCACTGGATGGGCCCGAGAAAGTCGGCCGAGAAGGGGGGATGGAGTTGAGTTGCTCCCACCGCACTTAGGGACCACATCCCAGAAATAGTTTCGAGCACCCAGACAAGTATCGAAACAGTGTCGAACAAGTATCGCCTTCCAGGGCCCGACACGAGAAAACCCTCCAGTTTCGGTACTTTCTTGGTGTTCGAAATTCTTCCTGGAGATCGATCAAGGCTAAAGTAGCTTGGAACATCACAAGGATGGAGGCAATTCCGATCAAGATCCGTCCCCACACCCTCCCAAGGTCCATCTGGTTGGTGCAGCTTTTGACCCCCAGATTCGCTTTGTCACAACCCCGGGGCCCGAAAACGGCACCGGGTGACCGAACCAAACAACACAACTGCACGCGCACCCACCCCCCCTAGCGGAGAAAGGGGGGAGGTGAGGGTCACTCTTTTTCTTGAGTAACAAAGGGCTGCAGGATTTCCTGGATCCTCCAGGACAGTCTTGATTATATTTTATATAATCATATATCTATGTAAAACTACAAACTTCCTAGCACCTCTCCTTGGGCGCGGGAAGCGGCTCGGCCTCCAGCCGAGAAAAGTGAGCCACAGGGAAGCCTCTTTGTGCTCCCTGGGCAGGCGTCGCAATGGCGCTGGCCCCCTAAACCCATCGCGGGGCTACCCGCTGAGGGCAGGCGCGGGGCAAACCGCAGCCTGTAAAACAAAGCTCACCCTCGGCCGTCGTAGTGCTTCCTGCGACCATTCTCCTAGCCCTCTCCGTGGATCACCTGAGAGCCTCTGGAACGGTCTCGGCACTCGCCCTTGAACGTCTCAATCCACTTCTGCGCGGCCTCTGGACTGCTGATGTCCTGCAAGCTAAGCTTGGCAAGAGGTCCATACGCTGTAGCCATCACCCGCAGCTGCTCGATCTCCTTGGCCTGGCGATCCGACAGAACACATCCGTGCTTGATCATCCTCGTGACCAGGTCCTCCTTGATCCCTGACACGGCCAGGCCCTTGGCCTTCAAGACAGCTCGCAGCTCAGCCACAAGAAACGTGTTTAAGAGCTTGTGCCTTGCTCCCTTGTCCTGCTGTACACACACGGTCTTGAACTCGACGTCAGCCCGCGCAGATGGTGGACACGTGCTTCCAGAGGCGGGGCTAACCGCACCCTGGAGGAGGAACTTGTCGTAGAAGTTCTTGAAGTAGCAACCACACCAGCACCCCAATAAGAAAGTACTCGCTGCAGTCACCACAACAAGTCCCAACATCAAGTAGAACCTGAACTCCTCGCTGTCCACGTAGTGGCTGACAGGCGCGGGGCAAACCGCAACCTCGTCAGAACCTCCGTACACTGTCACCTTCTCGCCTGACGCCTTCGTCACGACCTCCGTAAAAACTGCCATTGCACTCAAGCCCGTCAACTGCTTTCCGAACCTGAGGTTGAGAGTGGTGCAATGCTTCTCGATTGTCGGCCACTCGTTGTACTTCGTGAGCATGTCGGCTGTCATCTTGCTGGTGTCCTCCTTGTGAAGCTCGAACGCCTTCAGACGCAACCGCTCCTGAATCCACAAGTACCTCAGCTCCAGGTGCCTGACCTTGCCCACCCCAACTCGACTGCACATGCCACGTCCGGCTGTGCTGTCACTATAGATCTTCAGGTTGCAGGGCCTCTGGGTCTCGATCAGGTAAGTCTTACATTGAAGTCCTCTGGCTGTCGCACTTCCCGTAGCGTACATCTCGGATTCCCCTGAACTTAGGGCTATCGTACTCTGCGTCACTGAGTAGCAGTCCCAAGTGTGGTCACCATACCTCACAGCTCCTCCACTGGTAGATCGCCGCTGTAGTTCACTCGTAGGTGCCCAATCTGCGTCACCATCCACACGAATGCCTTCAGGAGTACCTTGAAGTGGGTAACACCACACCAACACAGGCTGTCCCTCATAGTACCTTCCAAGTCGCTGAACACGCGCATGCATCAAGACGTTCGGGTTGGAGACGTGCTGCATCGCTGTCTTGCTGGCGTACATCGTGTCGGGCCTGTCCGAAGAAAGGTAAAGAGCGGTGCCTGCTGCACCCGCCACTTCTCGAGCACGATCCTTGGAAAGAAGGTCTAGACTGTCTCGTCGGCCTTGTCCTGTAGCTTTCGTTCCTGGAGTAGGAGCTGGTTTACACCCTCGCTTCTGCGTCCACTTGATCATGAAGTCCACATGCTTAGGATCGGCAGTCCAGAAGAAACCTGGCTCCTCGCAACCTGGCAACTTGTCAGTATAGCCGATCGTCCTCTTGAGGTATGTAGTCTGCCCCACCGCTCCTGGTCCAAGTCTGGCGCTGGCCGTGACCTCAAACTGCTGCCTCAATAACTCGTCGAGCTCGTCCAGCTGCTCGTCGTAGCCTTCAGCAAGAAAGTCATCGCCATGGCAGATCGCGGTGCTATCCTCGTCCATGGGGGCTGTGTTGGGGCTAGCAGGTAAGTAGAACACGTTAGGAGTTCCAACCAAGCATTCCCAATGGCCGTCGTCCATAGTAGTTCTCACAAGCTCACCCCACATCTGCGACGCCTTCCTGGTACCGTTCATGGCCTTGCGTAACCACCAGCACCTTCCAGGCGGACACAGCTCTCTCCCAGGATGCACGTAGATCGTCTCGTCTAAGTCAGCGTTGAAGAAAGCCTTCCTGACATCCCAGACTTGTATCTTCCGCAGGTGCTGCCCGCTGGAAGTTGGACTTGAAGCGGCACGGCTCAGCGTCGCTCTGACAATCATGAGCGGGGGCGTGCCTTGGTGGTTGTCCTCTCTGACCTCGTACTTGTTCACCTCGGTTGCTACGAACCTCCACCTAACCTTTCCTTCTTTCATGTGGGCTATCGGGAAACCTCCAATGTGCTTGCCGTCAGTCGCCGTCGATGTCGCCACTTCCACGTAGACCCCGTAGTCCTTCATGGCCTGCAGCTCGTCGTCGCGACCCTTCTGGTACAGGTCCTCATCCAGAGGCTCTCCAGTATAGTAATCGTAGTGTATCGTCTTTGGGCTCCACTGGTCTTTCTCATGCAGCTCGGCGCTCACCTCAACCATCTGCTCTACCTGCTGCTCCTCAGGATCTCCGAAGTGGCTCCTGATCGTGCCGATGTGGCTCATCAAACATCTCCTGCATGCACACTCAGCTTGATGGCATTCTCGTAGCTGGCATCGTGATGAGTGCTTCTCACACCTCTCGGAACATCTCGCACTACGCTTTGGGTGTGGATCCCACATGGGGTCGAAGCTCTCGTCGTAGCCTTCCTCGCAGACTGCCAACTCACAGACAGAGAGATGCCCAATGCTTGCTACCCTGGGCTTCTTGACCTCAGCTCCTTCACGAGCTTCACCTGGGGCACTTCGCTGAAAGTCGCTCCTCAGCTCTCCTCTCTCTGTGTCCATGGCTGTCTGCATCTCAGCCTCTCCTGGGCCAGGAACCATAGCTACGTCGCTGGCAGCAGGTGCGGGGCTCATCGCAACCTCACTGCTGCTTGATGCCGCTGCTCCTCCTGGTGCGGCTCCAGGCGCGGGGCTACCCGCAGCCGGTGCTGGCACCACGACTGTAGCCTCAGGGGCCACAGGGTCCTTTGCCAACTTCTCTCGCAGCAAGTCGGCCTGAATGGTCTCGAAACGCTGTCGGCAGGCTGCCGAATGCGAACCGTATCCTATACTGCACTTCCTGCAATCGTCAGTAGGACCATGAGCATCGATCATGCGCTCCGTGATGTACATGCTGCGTCCGATCGTTCCTGAACTCTTGTCGGGCGTCTGCTTCCAGGGCGTCACCCTGATGTGCTGGATGAGCTCGGGCTGCCATCTGAACTCCTCAGGCATCCTTCGCACCGTTCTGACCTTCTGCACTCCACGTTCAGGATCGATCACGAGGTGTGTGTCGTCCAGCTCACTCTTACCAACCCATATTCCTTTTGCGAAGCGGGCTTCCCATTTGCCACGTCCCGCGGCAACTCTGGCTGAGATCCGATACCAGACCTGCTCACCCATCTCCGCAATCTCTCCGTTGTACTCTTTGCCGTAGAGCATCTTGTAGGAGGAACCTCCGTGACTGCGAGGTTGGAATCTGGTAATCATCCACCCCACTGAGTTCACAAGCCATGGCACGATCGGATCCGTCATCTTGATCTCACAGCCCAGCTTGTGCTCCAGCTTCAGCTTGTAGACTCGAAGTAGACCAGCTGCTAGCTTGTTAGCTCCTTCAGCGTAGCCTGCACTCTGCTTGGAAAAGGGCGGTGATCCCCGCACCAAGGTTGAGTGTGATCTGCGATCTCGAACTGCCTGCGCCAGAGCCATGGTGGCAGGCTCCTGGTCTGTCTGAAGTATGACTGTTGTGTGGCCCCAAGCTTCCAGCGCGCCTATCAGGAAGGACACCTTGTAGTCATCCGTCTCCTTGTTCGCGTACAGCGTCGCCTGAGCCAAGATCTTACAGTCGATAACATTCAAGACAGAGACCGCTTGGTCTAACTCGGCCTTCGTGACCGACGTCTTCTCCCTGATGCTGAAGTAACCTCCTTTAAGCTTGTACTTCGCAGCCAGCTGATCCGTCCCTACGTAAAAGATGTCGAACATCACCTTCGGGATCTTGTTCTCATCAGCTGATTCCTGAGCGTGGTGTGGGTCATCGTCTGCTCGAGCCTGCACGCAGATGGGACACCAAGGCCGAAAGGGTAGATGATGCCCTTCGTGCGCGGCTCTCTCCGCAGCACTAGGTTGGTAAGGACTCCTCAACACTCTCGTTGGCACAGTTGTGGTCTCATCAGCTTCAGGACCTAGAACCTTCGGCAAAGATCCAGCTTCCTGTTCAGCTGGTACCTTCCTTGGTAGTGTCTTTCGTACCGCAGCTACCTTTGAAGCTTCTGGTTGAGTCTGGCCGTCAATGATGTGATCGTACTCTAAGTAGTAGTTGCCTTGGTGACGACGTAGAGGTACGAACTCAGCTCCGTCAGGTGGCTCGATGGTACCGTTGATGATCCAGTGACCTGCAGGGCTATGAAGAACACTCTGACCACGTTGTACTACAGCATCTGTAGCCACAACTGGGTACTCCACATCGGCAACCTCAGCACCGACTTGAATAACCTCTCCTCCTCGGGATAGGTTCAGCTCCACGTGGCCGTACCTCTCGATCTCCTCGCCTCCTATGCCCTTCAAGCCGACAACGTTGCTGTCCGTCGGCGTGTAGTTATGCTTGGTCACCTGTGATCTCGGTATCGCACTGATCTGCGCACCTGAGTCGAGCATAATCGCATTCCGAAGCGGGGCTAACCGCAATCGGTCATCTGCAGGGCTCTGATCTTCATCCACGGGCCGAAGACCAGCGACGGTAACATGCCTGGGGCCGACCAGCGCGGGGGTCACCGCAGCTGGCACATCGCAGCACTTACTGATAGTCTTTCTTGTGCTTCTTTGGCTTTGGCTTCTCGTTGTCGTCTGGCTCTTCCCCGTCCTTGAACCAGTTGTCCAGGCAGTACTCGGCACATGCGGCACAGTAGTCCAGCTTCCACTGATCGAAGTGCCATCGCCATCCTTCAAAGGTCTTCTTGCAAGAGCAGCAGACATATTGGTGGTAGGTAGGCAAGCAGTACTTCCAGTCGATCGTGTGGCTGCGCTTCTTGTGACCTCTGCCCTCAGGGCCAGAATCATCTTCGCTTGCAGCGCACAGTTGACTGGGCGCAGCACCTGCTGAGTCATCGCGCTGTCGGTGCTTCCTTGACTTCCCAGCATCTGTTGTGTAGGTGCTGCCGAGCTTGTTCCTGTGCCCACTCCTGTCTGTCGTAACCTTTCGAGCTCCCTGACTGCCGCTGCCCCGATCTTCTTCTTTTCTTTTGCCTTCTCTTTTCGGAGCTGCTTCTTGTCTTTCTTGTCCTTCTCGGAGGTCTTCTTCTCGTCGGCGATCCGCTTTCGGCAGTTTGCGCTGCGGTGCCCCTTCTTGTGACAGTAGTGGCACTCGATCTCGGCGTCGGGGTTCGGTGGCCTCTCCTTGCCTTTGCCGTCTTTCCCTTTGCCGCGGCCTTTCCACGGTCTCTTTCCGCCCTTCAGCGCTCCTATCTCCATCGGGTCGTCCTGAACCGCTCGCTCTGCCATCAACGCCGACACCACCTCGGCTCTCAGGAGCTCGTACGTACTTAACCGACTGCTGTTCCGAAACACGTGCTTTTGCAGCTCGTCGTGATCCTTCAGCGCCTTTGTAAGGATGCCTCGCTTGATCAGGTCCGAGACTGGTTCTCCTGCCATCTTCTGATACCTCGTCATGTCTTCGTCCAGCTTGCTGATGCTCACCATCACGTCTTCTTTGGCGTCGAACTTCGTGTCCGTGAGCTTGGTCCACATCGCCAGTACGTTTCCTGCCTCGCTCGGGTTGTACTCCTTCTGAAGTTTCCTCCAACACTCGGCGCCTTCTCCTACTGGGCTGTTCCTCACGATCAGCTCGCCTACCGAGTCCTCGGGCATCGCCAGGACCAGGCCGTAGTACAACTGCGTGCTGAGCTCTTCCTCCTGTGCGTCTAGGTTGACGTTGTCCACCTCCTGGGCTCCGTCCTCGCACCTTTCTAGAAGATCTCGGTACCTTCGATCCTGGGCGATCAGGTACGCTCTGTACTGGAAACTGAACGTCTTCCAGCTCGCCCTCTGACCGTCGAACGGCTTCACTTTGTGAAGAATCTTCGGATCCATCATCTCGCCGCGCGGGGCTGCCCGCTGCTGCTGAGCCTGTTGCTGAGCTTGCTGCTGACCTTGAAGCTGACCTCGCATCTCTGCGATCGCCACGTCTCTGTTCTGAAGTTCCTGTCTCATGCTCTGACTCTCCGTCGTCAGCCTCTGAACTTGTTCGACCAGTTGCTGCAGCTGCTGCTCCATCTTGATAGTCGAGCACGTCACTGACACGCTTCCCTATCCTCTCGATGTCGCTTGTCAGCTGCCTCTTCACCGCTGCTCGCTCCTCTTGAGTAAGCTGCGCTCTGCTGCCGCACGCCGCAAGCTTCCTAAAGGCCGTTCCTCGGAGCTCTCGATGCTGACGCGTCTCCGCCGACCTGCCTCCTCGCTTGTTCGCCTTCTTGGCCTTCTGCGTGGCGGTCTGGCCTCCACTGTCAGAGCGCGGGTCTGACCGCAGCTCTGACCAGCGAGGGGTCCTTCGTTCGGCGGCCGCGTGGATCGTCCCGCTGGCCGTCGAACCCGCGGCGTCACGCCGCTGGGCTCTCTCGAGGGGCCTCGAGCTCGCCTAGGTGCGGAGCGGCCCGCAAACCTCAAGCGAGCTCCGCTACCATGCACGCGCACCCACCCCCCCTAGCGGAGAAAGGGGGGAGGTGAGGGTCACTCTTTTTCTTGAGTAACAAAGGGCTGCAGGATTTCCTGGATCCTCCAGGACAGTCTTGATTATATTTTATATAATCATATATCTATGTAAAACTACAAACTTCCTAGCAACAACCAAAAAAAAACGGTCGAACCCAGAACCTCGGACCTCTTCCCTCCCTCCCTGCTCACCGACCGGTGCTGGGTTAGCATGGGGGGAAGGGGTCCTGATGGAAACGGGTCCGGGACACTGCGGCGGCCCCCAGGACGAGCTTTTCGTCCTCAGTTGATTTCTGACAGTCCCGGGGCCCGTGGAGGGCCCCGAGAACCCGAAAACGGCGACAAAAAGCCAGGACCCGTTTCCCTCAAGATCCGTTTCCCCCACGGCGAGCTGGGCTACCTGCCCCCGAGAAACCACCCCGAGCTCAGACCCGGCTTGGCCAGACCTCGGTTGCCGCAGCCGCCACCCCGTCAGACGAGCGCGTTCTGCTACTCGCAAAGTCACTAGCTGGTCGGAGATGGCCTGGATGACGCTACAGTCGATGCAGGCATGTGTTCTTTCGGACGCTTGCGAGTAGGCACTTTGCGAGTCATCGAACGCGCTTGGTGGATCTCGGCCTCTGGCGCCTCGTCAACCGCGAGTGCCACCTCGCGCGCGCGCAGAGCGCCGCACGGGGCGGCGCTCTGTGCAGATCCAAGTAATGTCTGCGCGGGCCGCTGAAAGCTGCAGTCAGAACGCCACCACAAGGATGTGCGGCAGTAAAGATGCAAGGGCCTTGGGAGGCCCTGCCGGCGTTTCTCGGGCGGGGTTGGCCAGCGAAGGCTGCCAGGGATGTGCCAAGAGGATGCAAGGATGCAGGGGCAGCTGCCTTGGCAAGCTGCTCGCCCTCAAGATATCTCAAGATTCGATGATCCTCAGAGTGCGTGTTGGCCCAAGCGTGTGTCCACCCCGTCCAGCTCCGCCGATGGAGCGCAGCCTGTGTCGGCCCTTGCGGCGCCGCCTGCATCGTATTGAAGGGCCTCGGGTGCAAGCACACGTTGGCGCCACCACTCGTTCTGAGGATGATCGATCGTGTGCGCTTTTGCTGCCTGTGGATGCCGTTTTTTTCGTCGTCGCCGGTGGCCAGAGTAGAAGAGCTCGGAGTACAGCCCCATGATCGCCGGGTGCGAGCGGTACGACTCGGTCAGGAAGTAGAGGTCCCGCTCCTCGCACGCCTTCAGCGCGTCCTGGGACAGGTCCTTGGAGTTTCGTGGGCCCTGGGAACGGCAGGGCAATTTTTTCACCGTTTCCGAAAAATGTCTCTTCGAAATGGGAACGGCAAAAAAAGCAGGCGGAAACAACGGAAACACGGCTCTGGATTTGGAGCCCGAAGCGGAACAAAACGATGGCGCCGGCACCAGCGAAAAACATCAAAGCGGAAGAAACAAAACGGCCCTGTCGTTTCCATTGCCCACAAAGCCTTGGAGGCGCTGGAGCGGACGAAGGCGAAACGCTCGTTGGCCAGGCGCTCTATCATGGAGCGCTCCAGCTTCGCCAGCCTCAGTGAAAGAAACAATTGCATAAACGCAGCATCGTTTGACCGACCCCTATCCATGGGCGTGGCCTGGGCCCCAGTGGCCGTTTCCCCCCCCCCCCCTTCTTCCCCCCCTAGATCGGGTCTCGAGGGGTATATCCCCAACCAGGGTGCTGATATAGTGGGGGTCTAGATGAGGATGGAGATGGGAATAGGGTTAGGTGAGGCATGTCCTCCTACAGGCAGATCTTGAAAGGATCAAAATTAAGTAATCAAAACACATCCCAAGTAGGCCAAAGAGCACGACAAATCATCGCCAGACTATTTATACTATTCTTGAACATTCCTCCTGTAGAGGGACATGCCCGCCTTGAGGATACAGTGGAGGCCACTCCACAAGAAACTTTTCGCAAGGAACCCAACGCTGAGACCCCAGGACGTCCATTGATTTCTGGTGTGGGAGCGTCACGCTTTCCGAAGCAAAACCATCGCAACCCAAGAAACCCAGGGCACCCTGGAGGCAAGCAGGGTGTTTCTTGCCATGGGTCTCCACTGTGCATTTATGCAGTTGGGAAGGGGAAGCCAGAATGTACCGATACCGCTACTCGGCGGCGAACGAGGGGGGGGAAATGAGAAGGATAATGCCCTCTCAGAAGGCGGCGGGGCTTCTCAGAAGGCCCCCGGCTTCTGAGAAATGTTTTGTCTTCGGGGGAGGCTCGGAACATCTCTCAGAAGGCCGGGGGGGACTTCCGAGCCTGCTGGGAAGGTCCACCCCTTCTCACTTCCCCCGTGGGCTCGCCGTCGGGCTACTCCTCCCCAGACCTCTGCCGAGGTGCGTTCTGACCAGAATCTCGGGGCGAGTCCAGCCGAGGCGACGAGGGCCTCCCAGGAGCCCCAGAAGGGCGACAACGAGGCAAGTGTAGGGGTATTAGGTATCGGTACCTTTTCCTCCTCTGAGTTGCTTCTTCTTCTTCGCGATGTATGTTGCATCTTCGGGGCACCTTGCTTGTCCGAACTATCTGCGGCGAATCCTTGCCGAATCCATGGCGGACTCGTCGCATCCGGGTCGAACCCACGCCGAATCCGCGTCGAGGCCGAATCAAGCCCGCGTCGGGCGCAAGAAAATGTCCCCCGAAGATGCATCGCACAGTAGGAGCTCGACCACAAGAAGCCTTCTACAGGAAACCCAACCCTGAGACCCCAGGACGTCCATTCATTTCTGGCGTGGGAACGCCACGCTTTCCACAGCAAACCATCGGAACCCAAGAAACCCAGGGCACCCTGGAGGCAAGCAGGGCGTTTCTTGGCATGGGTCTCCACTGCAGTACCCTGCTCCCTGACAGAGCGATTCACACTTCCTTTGGGGGCGCAAGGACATGCTAGTGCTAGGTCGGGCGTGTCCTCCTACAGGCGGATTTTGGAGGGAGGACAAAAAACAAATCGTCAAACATGTTCGAAACATATTCAAACATAGTCAGACAAATCGCCCCCTACTATTATTTGACTATTTTGGGTTATTCCTCCTG